CCCCAAAACCCCAAAACCCCATAGTTATAAATAATCAATAGTATTGGTGACTTAGGTAATAAATCAAATTATAACAAATATATAGGCCATTTTTGGAATAATGATACTCTTCCTATTTTAATTATTTCACTATTTTCTTTTTTTACGATTTTTAGTAAATTTAGATTTCGATCTCTTGCTTTGAGATTTAGGTTTATATAAAATTTCTTCTGAAATATCAAATGATCTAATCGACATATCTTGTAATGCAGGTATTTTACTACTATCTAGTCTGAAATCCTTATGAGAAGAGCTAACATTATAGCCTGAAAATTCTTTGTATCTTTTTGAGTAATTTGAGTTTTGAATTGAAAAAATATCTTCAAGATCTACTGATATTTTAGAGTCAAGTTGATTCTTATCTTTTATTTATATTTTATTTTTTCTCTATACAAATGAAATATTTACCTTTTACTATTATTGGGAAGTCCTTTTTGAATGTTTTTAAACTAGTTTCTTAACGCTTCGAAGTGAATTATCTTCATTTTGAGTCATTAATGTCTAATTTTTAATCTATCCTTAAAATTAATCAGCCATCTTATCAAAAAGTTGCATAGAATCTACTTTCATCCTTATTCCAATATTAATTGGTTCAATTTTCAATAGTGTAAAGTGTCTTATCTTATTCGCCAATTTGTAGGTAAAAGTGTACTTGAATTAAATAAGGACTAAGTAAAACCATAGGATCATAAACCAAGCATTGAACATTATGATAATAACTAAAGCTGATAACTATGCCCATTTTTGGAACTCTTTATTGAGAAAATATAATGAAAAGTAAAATGAGATGAATATACTTATCATCTCTCTTTTTTCAAGTTCATTAATCATTGGATTTTCATAAGGCTAATATCTCTCCTGTAATCTGTAAATTCCTCCAAGAAATAATAGGCCGACCATTGATTTGAAAAGCGGCAGTTGCGTTTGCAAGAACACATTAATAAAGACTAGACCTATTTTTCTACTTATATTAAAAAATTCCCAATAATAATATTCTTGTTTTAGTCCGGAACAAAGTATCTTAAATCTATCCTTAAAATATTTATTGGTAAGATATTCTTTCTTTTTATAGAGATAGCAAAACCCTAGAAATGGTACTAAGATTATCCAAAATATTCCGAAAGGCAAGCCAACAAGTAAACTCAAAGTCAAATGATCTCCGGTCCAACATTGCACTGATAAATCGCTAACTAGCCAATATTCCCCTTGATTAATTTCCATACATATGAAAATGCTCATTACAGCTCTCGAGAGTGTTGGGTGAGTAAAATAAATAACACAGATAGCCATTATTGCAAACCAATCAATAAACTTCGATGCATTTATCCTGCTTATTATGATATAAAGTATAAATCCAAGTGAGAATATTACCATAAGCATCAAAGGAAGTAGCCCAATAATTAATGTTTAAAGGAAAATAAGTGAGTTGCTCTTATTCTTAATACCCTAATCGTCAAAGATGCATTCAAAGTATAAAAGGTTCTATATTGAAGCCCCCACATATGAAAATGATTAAAAAAATTGGTCTAATGGTTTTGGCCAATCAAGCTAGAGTAAATGAGTACCAGATATCATTTATAGAAAGTTAGTCAAGATTCTCATTATCACAGATATTTCACTTGTCTTCCTACTTCTCAAATTCATAATTACCAAAAATATCAGATAAAGTAGGATAAGTAATAGAGTCTAAAGAAATACAATATTTACTCTAGATTCTGGGCAAACTTCACAAATATCCTTTTTTGTTCTTGAATACTAAACTCCATTTATTTTTTAACAAGTATGACATAGATTTCCACCATAGCCTTATTAGCATAGTGGGTTTACTTCAGAGTCATTTAACATCAAGCCTCCGATACAAGCATCTGGATTTAAGCATTCATGAATTTAAGTAGATACATTTGAAGATCTCCAAAACCCATTTACAATTGATAATCTGTTCCCTCCTAAACAATCAGCGTGTGGAAGACAATCATGACACTATTGCTAATCTCGGAATAAATTATAAGTCCCTGTCGCACAAGGATAGCATCTAATAATAAAAAGATGAATAAAGAGGGAATTGAACTTACATGAGATTTGTTTCAATTTAGCCCTCAGAGCATGTGTCAAAGTCTAGTTCTATTATAACTTCATTAATTTAGGTTTTGTCTGGGATATGATAAATTGCTTTCATATATTCAGTGTTAATACTTGGAGAAAAAATCTTAAATAAAGCATTCTTAGATCCTGGAGTACCAATAAAATGAATATTATCTAGAGTTACGACACCTTCAACTGCTTTTTTTAAATTTTCACCGATTACTGAGTTCAATGTTTAATTTACCTCTGTTAATTTTACAGTCCTATTTATTAATAATTCCTCAATTTCAACTTACAAGCTTTAATCATTTGTTACCCTTTAAAGTTAATAATCTAAGATTTCCAGAACAATTTTGTAGGGATACTATTCTCCTGATTCTGCTAGAGTTTTAGTAAATTCTAAAAGCTATAAAATATCAATGAGAAATTATTACTCTGACTGTATAAGGCTTGCTTGCTATGTCATTACCATAAGGAGCACTGTTATTTAAAAAACTATTTGAATCTAGATTTAAAGGCTTATTTTTATTATAATCAATAGCTCCTCCTTGATCATGAGCTGTATTATTGCTAAATGTGTTATTCTTCAAATCAGCAAAGCAATTCACAGCTATAACGAATTGAAAAGAAGCAAAATTATCTTACAATTACTGCAACTTAAAAATAGTCCTCCTCCAAAATGACCGAAAGAACTGGTAATAATTGATTTTTATAAAGTTATATTGCTATTGATAAGATTAAATACTCCTCCTTCCTAAAAAGAGTAAAAATAAGAAAACTCTGAGTCGATGATTGAAATTGTTGAATAATATTGCATTATAAATCGTTTATTTTTGAAAGTTTTTGCCTTTAGTATATTTGAAAAATCCTCTTCATTCATTGACTAGAAGGATGAGTTTGAAATCTCTAAGGTACTTCTTTACATTAGTATTGCATCTGAACTTAGATTATCCATTTATGAATTGCTAATCTTACTGAATTTAGATCTTGATATTAAAATGTGGGCTGTTCTCTCACTTTAAAAATTTTAGATTGCACTTCTCTCCATTATAAATGTGCCAGAATCTATAATAATTTAGAAACCATCTTGATTATTGCTGTAGATATTGCTTATTGTAGAATTAATAAGATTAAAATAAGAGTATTGGGAAAGTATTACAGTTGCATTGCAATCATCTATTTTTGAATTTATTAATGTCATGTTAGACCCAAGATTTTACTCAAATAATATTAAGAATCTTTAAAAATCAGGAGTTTTAGATGCTATTCAATTGACTTCTGAATTTTCCAATAGTATTTAACAGTTTGAAAAACTCATAAGTGAATTATCCTCTTAATAAATAACCATTTCATTAATCAAAGAATTGCGAAGAATGAACTTTCCAGAAATGCAACCAAATAGTTTACTCTGGTGCTAGATAATTGAACCATTTTCAATAATTAAATTAGCTTTTGATATCTTTATACTTTTCCTAAGGGTTGCTTAGCTTAGATTAGGGATAACTTTAGATTGAAGAAATTCAACGAACGTCTAATCTAATGATGAATTATACTTTTAATCAAAATATGTTGAGTTTTTTGACTTCAAATTTTAAATGTCTAATGAGCTAATTAAGGTGTTATTGTGAATAGTAGTATTTGAAATTAGTGAATGAGAGTTAAATGAATCAACAATTTAAAATATACTAGAATCAAAAGCACTATTGTCAATTATCTGTGAATTATTAACACTAATTGTAGATTCATCCATTATTATTCCAATTCCACCATAAACAGCAAAATTATTTGAAAAAATGCAATTGTCAAAAGCAACATAACTTTGATACTGAGTATAAAATACACCACCTTTAATAGCATAGTTGTTGGTAAAATTGCAATCCTTAAAATAGCATTTAATTCCTGAGTAATCACCAAATAACACACTTCCTCTAGATAATGAGAAATTTTCATCGAATAGAGAACTGGAAACATTTAGTAAAGAATTAGTTTAAATTCTAAATATTCCATCAATTATAGGTTTATTATCTTTGAATATGCTTTATTTAATAAATACTTTCAGAGTTCCAAATAAATCAAATTTATCACTAGCTCTTAAAAATATCTGTGCTCTTGTATTATTAAGGAAG